AGAGCCGGGGCCGCGCCTAGCTCGGGGACCTGGCCTGGGGCGCCTAGGAGAGAAAGGGAAGGAGCCGCTGCGGCCGAGGAGGAAAAGGCTCCGGACCGCGAGGGAGCGAGCGAAGCCGCGGCGGCGTGGAGCGGCTTTGCCTGGCGGTAACCGGAAATTGGTGGCCTGGCTGGAAGTGGGGCAGGGAATAGGGCAGATGGGCCGGGTCAGTGCGACCTTCCAGGCCGCGGCCTCTCCCCTTTCATCCCTGCAGCGCTCGCTTAGTTTAAGGAGAAAGCCACCCTCACACGCGCGCACACGCAACTCCTCTGTTGCTTCAGAGTCTTTGGTCAGGCCGTTTCCCCATCTTAGCGTTCTCTCCGACCATTTCTAGAGTTTGCAAGGATTGCAGACTCCAGTACCAATAAGTAAACCGCTCACATAAACTGCCCATCTGGTGTCGCGGTGGGGCAGTGTGCTTGAGTGGCAGAGCGTTTGCCTAATGGGCCCCAGACCCTGGGTCTGATCCACATCCCTGAGAAAAAGGAAGGTGAGGTCAGGTGTCGGGGAGGGGTGGTGTGTGTGACACAGCCCAAGAGGCCTCTTGTGGCCGATTGATATTTCAAAAGAAGCTGGAAGACCGTATTCTAATGTAAAATCTTCCTACTTTTAGACATTTGAAATCAGTTCCCCAAATCCAGAAATATTGAATGGGCCAAAAGAAGTATGCCCTGGGGACAAGTCTGGTCCACAGCCCTTTGTTTGGCAACTTTGCTATTGAGAACATTGCTTCGGTTCCTAACTCTTTTTCCTGTCTCTGTGGAGTCATTTTTCTAGACTCCAAGTCCCTTTTGGCCACCAGCTTGTGAAGAACAAATCAGGTTGCTCCTGGCATGAAATTGCCAAGGACGGACGCCCTGTTCCCTCCAGGGCAAAGCCTGCCTTATCCTGGCATTCAAGGCCCTTCGCTTTCAGAGCCCACTGGCTATGGTGGTGCTGAGAACCTCTCTTCTCCATGTAGCCTTGATCTTGGCCACACTGTTCTGGAACACGTGCTATCTATCCCTCCATGGTTTGTACATTAGTTTTCCTCTGTCCAAAACACCTGGCCCCTCTTCTTTGTTTCCCAAGCAAGTTTCTGTCCAAAACAACTCTATGGCTGCTCTTCTTCTCCCACCCCTCCTCCTCCTCCTACAAGTGTCAGGAGTTTCAAATTCCACCTCTGACTCTTCTAGTCCTAGGAAAAGCACCCCCTGCCCCAGAAACAGAGAGATTTGTTAGTGGGCACATGGGATAAGCAGGAATGTTTCCATGCATCTAAGGGCTGAGTCCCAGGATATTAAAGCTTAGAGTCTTTTTCTCTTTTACGGATGAGGAAACAGGCTGAGGAGAGGGGCAGGAGTGGAGTCAGGCCTTGACATGTTCCTGGCCATGGCTATTGCTAGTTTGGATGTGAAATGTCCTTCAGGCACTGGGCATGGTGGTGCATGCTTGTAATCCCAGCACTTGGGAGGCTGAGGCAGGAGGATTCACCCACAATTCAAGGTCAGTCTGTGCTTCATAGTGAGTTCAGGGCCAGCCTGAACTACATAGTGAGACCACACCCCCCACAAAAGAAAAGAAATTAAAAAAGAAATGTCCCTCAGGGCACATATGTTAAAGTGTTAGTCCTAAACTTGGCACTATTGGAAGATGGTGGCAACTTTTAGGAGATGGGGCCTATTGGGAGGCTTTAGGGTGTGTCCTTGGAGGGGATGTGGGATCCCAATCCCTTCCCCTCTCCTCAATCCTGGGCATATGGTGGATGGGCTGCTGCTGCTGTAGTGTGCTGCCTCACCACAAGCCCCAGTGTAATAAGGCCAACCAAACCTGGACTGAAATTTCCAAAATTCTGAGCCAAAATAAACCTTTCTTCTTCATCATTTGGTTATCTCAGGTATTTTACAGGAACAGAAAGCTAAAAATAGCAGTGACTCACTTTTTTTTTTTATGGTATCAGGGATCAAACTCAGGTCCTTGCACTTGCGAGGCAGGCCACCGAACCACTGAGCTAAATCCCCAGCCCTCACTTTTCAACTAATAGCAATACAGTGATCAGGGCTACCCAGTTCAAGACCATCTGCAGGAACCTCCCCTGATTACTCAGCGGGGCTTTGATTACCCACAGTCCAGTTAGTCAAGGCTGGCCTAATTGCATTGTGGGTAATCAAATCCCATCCTCCCTCTCAATTCTGCTGGGTGGGAAGTCCTGGTCCCCCCAAAAGGGAGCTCTCTTAACTGAAGATACAGCAAGGATCTCAGTAAACTTAAGCTACAGCTGCTGCTAGAAAACTTTGGACAGTATGTGTTCTGGGGGCAGCAGACAAGAAGGGAAGTCACCATCCTGGCAGAAGAAGGCAGGGCTGCTTCTCAGAGGGGAACAAATATGCAGATCCAGTTGTCAGACCTGTTGGTTATGACCAAGGATTTGATGCCCTCAGTGCTGAAGGCTTGGGTTCCACCGCAGGCACCTCATCAAGACCCCCAAAGTGAGATGCTAGAGGTATGCAGCTCAGTGGTGGAGCCCTTGCCTAGCAAGTGCGAGGCCTCTATTTCAATCCCCAGCACTGCAAGAAAAGCAAAACCCTGCCAAAGTGAGTTTGGGGGTGAATAATTTCAGATGGACAGTGGAAGGGGAAGGCATGAGAACTGGTTACATCTGCAGATAACCACAGCAAGGGCAGAGGGGTGGTAGTTTGTTTTTCTAACCTCCCTTCTTGGGGAGAGAGAGGCTTCCAGGATCCATGGAATGGCTGTGCAGGGCACAGAGTGGAATGTGGCAGCCATGAACTTGTGCTACTCAGACCTTGGACTCTGGGGAGAGCAGCTGACCAAGGCAGCAGTGAGACCCATCTGTCCCCACAAGCCAACTCCAGCCTTGCGTGCCTGGGCACCTTGAAGACACACGGCCCCTCTGATGGGCGACTTTGGAGGACTCCCCTTGGCTCTGTCCAAATGTTCTTAGCACTGCACTTCAGGGCGAGGCTCTTCCGGTCCCCTTCCTCCCTTCTCATTGCCTCTCTGATTGTTCTCCAGCTCCTCTGGCTCCCTCCCATTTGCTTCCTCCCAAGCGTTTTTGCCAGTAACTTGCTTGCACATCTGGCCCTCTCCTGGCCTGCGCTTTGGAGGACTGAGCCAGCACAACTTATCTGAAGAGAAGACCTAAAGCCACTGTTCGTCAGGCTGCAGGCCTTTGTTCTTGACACCCAGGGATGAGCCACCCTTGCCAGGTGTTTCCACAGCGATGCTGCCTTCCAGAGGGTCCTGGCGGCTGTGATCTGGAAATCAGAAAGCAAAGATGAAACCTGGCCACGATCTCCACCCCTCCATAGAGGAAGCTCAGTGACGCAGATCCTCTCGGTTGAGAACTAGGTGATGATGTTGTCTCCAAGCTCCTGCGCAGTTGATGGCTGTTCACTCCCAGGTGACACAGAGGCCGGAAACTTCCGGTTCTTATGCACCTTCCTGTGGCTGCGTTTTGTCTTCACTGGTGGCTCAGATGTTTCTGGTCCTGGTGGGATCACAAGAGCTCTTCCGTCCTCGAGTATCTGTGCATCAAACTATGCTGAAAGGGGTCTGCAAGGCTATGGTGTTGGCTGTGTCAACAGTCAGAAATTGTGGCCCTCGGACACTTTCCCAGGGGTTCTGTGAGCCCCTGCTCACGTGCCAGTCGTGTTCTCGGTCTGCACACGGCGATGGCCACCACCATACGCAGGACAGGGGTGCTGGGGACCAGCTCACACAGCTTGATGGATCGGGGAGGAACCTTGGTAACACTGGCAACTGAGTAGCTCAGGTTTGAGATGAACAATACGATAATGGCAAAGGCACAGAGGCCACTGACAGCTTGGAGCAGGAGCATCCAAACTCAGTGGAAGATGAGCTCAAGTCATTGCTGCTGAGTCGAACCCACAGCGGATCAGAGGCGGTGGCAGCCAGGGTGTGCAGCAGCCGGAGGTGCCGGATCTTCACCCTCTTTTGGAGCCAGGCGCACAGTGCTCCAGCAGGAGTGCTAGCGAGCTCCTGCCCTCCCCGTGAGGAAGTCCAACTCTGTGACCGTGGGTGGCCAGCAGGGTGCCGCTGCTGCTGGGAAGAAGGGCTGTGTGATGGCCACTCTGTGTCTCACAGTCCTGCTGGGGGCACTGGCAGCCTCTTGAGCTGGGAACTGTGCTCCCTGCCACCCTGAGAGTGTGCCAGCCCAAACAAGGAGGTCTCTAAAACCCGGAGAGCAGCTGTTCCCAGGACAGGATCCAGGAAATGGGATCGGGAGGGGGTGTGATGGGAATTCGTCTTTCT